GAGCCAAGAGCTAAGGAAGGGAATCACTAAGGTCTCTGGCAGGAGGCGATACTTGGGCTAAACTTTGGTTAGAGCTGTGGATTCCAAGAAGTAAAAGTGAGGAGGAAGGGCAGCATTCATGGGGAACAGCAAATAAGATAGTCTGGTTGGAACATAAAGTTATCCCTTCCATATCATGACTTTCCCCATGGCAGGTTTGATATATTGTAGGTTGGCATAAGAAATTAAATGGGACTTTTGGAGGAGTTTGGCTGAAGCCACAGATGACACAGAAAAGTTTAGAAATTCAGAAATGCATAAAATATATGGACAGTATTGTATAATAACATATTTTATCTTTTAATACCAAGGATATATGCACAATTTCTATTTTAAAGTTTAACTATGACCAAATACTTAATCCAAATTTTACAATAAGGTACTGTAAACACCCCATAAAAGAAAAAGAAAAAATTCAGACTTCTTTTCTGGTATGAAGGGAGGGCCAAAAAATTTTATAAGATTTTCCAGATTGCAGGGGCACTTGCACCCCTATCCCCTGTGACATGGAAGGGTTAACTGTAGTGTGTGGAGAGGCATAATGTAAAGTCAGTCTGGAAAGGTAGGTGGGAGCCAGATTGTAAATGGCTCTAACTGACAAATAGAGGAGTTTGTTATTTAATCTAGATAGAACTGGGACCTACTGAAGTTTCTTAAGTGTAATAAAGGCATATATGGTCAGATCTATGCTTTGGCAGTATCAGTTTGGCAGGTGTGTGGAGGATGGACCAGAGAGAGAGGAAATGAGAGGCAGGAAGGGAGACCAACAAGGAGGTTTTTGTCCTGTTTTTCTATCATTTCTCTGATATTTCATGGATATAAAGGTTAGCCTCTCTACTGGACTTTTGCCTAGAACAACCCTTCTTAGCTTTCATAGGAGGTTAGGTCCCTTGCTCAGTAAGTCTTGCTGTATTCTAGGCATTGCTTCCCTCACTGACTCAAGCGAAGCTTGTATTTGTTATGCCAATCAATATGTCTGTGGGAGCGATGTCAGAACTTTCAGTAGATTTCAGTCAAGCTACTTAGCTGAAGTTGGTGAATGACTGCAAGTTGTCTTTCATTTAGCCTTGCTTATTTTATTACCCCCCAAAAAATGTTATTTACAAATTTAAACATTCTATACAAATCAAATACCCTTCTTCATAGTGCTTCTTTAGCAAAACTTCTTAACCTTTTTTGAAGTATCTTTTTTTTCCCCACCAACAATCAACCACAGCTTGTTGAGGAAAGATTATTCATGAGATTGTTTTTGGAACTTTTCTATGAATATCAATGTAGAGCAAGTAAGAGTTAGGGAAAAGGAGAAATTTTAGGCAACTAGCTTCTTCCACCCCCCACAATCTCACTCAAAATTAGTCACAAACTTCATCAAAATAGCCCCCTGGCTATATTTCATTGATACTGAAAAAAAAAATATTTTTGAATCCTTTTGGGGGGGAGGGGGGCCTCATACTTCTAGCTATGCTATTATTTGTAGGAGATAGTCCCAAACCAGAACACGTATGTTATTTGGAATTTGCCTCAGGCGGCTCCAAGAATATTTTTTTATTATCTAATAAGTATAAAAAAATGTTAAACCCTCAACAGGCAATCAAAGAAAATACAAATAATAGGGATAACTCTCAAGTCCTACAGTACCTGTGCTGTAAGAAATAAACTACTAATTTATAGGATGAAAGAGGCATGACTAGACTTCGGTTACTGTGAAAAAGACCTGGGAGTTTTAGTTGGCTATCATCTCATTATGAGTCTATAGTGTGCTTTGGCAGAGTTATTATTTTTATTGCTTTAGATAGCAGAAATTTTATTCTAGTAGTTAAGAAGTAAGGATGAGTGGAAAAGAAAAATGAATTCTCAGAAGTTACTGAATTGGGGATTCATCCCATCATGATATTGATTTTTTTTCATCTTTAACAGTGGTAAAAGCTTTTCGATTAGGAAAGCAAAGTTTCAGAGTGCAAGCATCTTTTTCTGATTTAATTGAGTTTCCTTTGTGACCGCATTATAGATAGCATACACACAAAACCTGCCTCATTCCCCATTTGGGAGAGTTAATATACTTTGGTTGAAATAACAAAGTATTTAGAACTACGGAGGTAATGATCCCACTGTACTCTGCTCTGTTAGGAACACATCTGGAGCACTATGTGCAATTCTGGGTAACATATTTTTAAAAAACAATTAACAAACATGAGTATGCCAAAAAAAAGTCCACCAGCATGGTGCATAAACTAGAAAAAAAATGATAACAGGGATTGGTTAAAGGAGGAGCCTTGGAGGAGCAGAGGTTAAAAGGAGACATAATAATTGTCTTCAGATACTTGGAGAAAACTTTCTTGGTAAAGTAAGATTAGACTTTTTGTTTAGCCCCAGAAGAAAGAAGGATCCATGTGTAGACACTAAAGAGAGGCAGATTTCAGTTCTGTGTAAGGAAAATGCTTCCTAATAGTGAGAGCTGTCCAAACCTGTAATGGTCTCTCTTGAGAAGGTTTCTTTTCACTAGAGGTCTTCAAGTAGAAACTTTTAACTACTTGTTAGGAATGTTGTATAAAGCATCAAATGAGATGTAAGCAATGTACTTTGGAAATTGTCAAGAAGTAGATTAAAGTCAGCTGCTGCCACGGAGGATTTTTGCTCAGGTAGACTAGATCCATAGTGTCAAAATGAAATAGAAATGAAGACTACCATACATAAGGTCCCCTGCAGGCCACATATTGACTTAGAAAATTACATATTAATATTGTTTATGTTCTATTTTATTTATTAAAATTTAATAAATTTAATTATTTAATCATTAAATAATTTAATGTAAAATAATTTTTATTATTTTATGTATTTTATTAAATATTTCTCTATAACATTTTAATCTACAAGGGGTTTACTGGGAAGTGTTGCAGGTTGGCTACATAGTTGACACCTCAGGATTTTGTTCTTCAAAGTCCTTTATGATCCCTAGATTCTGTGTCTGACTTCATCAATGTGCATAGTTCTCTTTTACTAATGTGACTTGCAACTCATATATACTTTGTCTTTTTGTGTAATCCCTGTCTGTGATCTGCCATACATTCTCCACAGAGGATCTATTCAACATTCTGGAGGCCTTCTTCTAGGTCTCTTTATATTTTGTGAATAACAACCTGAGTAGTCATCCCTTATCCCCTCACTTTCATTTCTTGGCTGGGCAACCTCTTTTTCCAATCACCTATTTCCTTGATGCTTTACATTATTTCTTGTGTGCAAACTACCATTGGTAATGTGTGGCAAGGACAGGTAGATGATGCAGTGGACAGAGTGCTGGGCCTGGAGGCAGGGAGACCAGAGTTCAAATCTACCTTCAGACACTTACTTTGTGACCCTGGACAAGTCACTTAACTCTGTTTGCCTCATCCATAAAATGAGTTGGAGAAGGAAATGGCAAACCACTCTAGTATCTAAGCCAGGAAAATCCCAAATGAGATCATGAAGAGTCAGGCATTACTGAAATGACCAAACAATAACAATATGTTGCAGTCTCCTGTTCTCACCGTGGATCTCTCCATTGCTCTTAAGAAATTCTGAGAAATGTTCTTCTTGAAAAACATGTATGGTATACTGGATACATAATATGCTTTTGTGATGGTTAATTTGCAGACCTTTGGACCCTTTCATCTCTTATTCCTAAATGATATTTTCAAATATACACTTTTTTTTTGCTATTCTCCTTTCTTCCCACCTTACCACTAAAGGAATGAGGAAAGAAACCAGTATTTATTAAGCATTTACTATGTATCAGGCACTGTGCTAAAATTAAAGGCAAAGAATATCAAGAGCTATGTTAATTTAATTTGGAGAATATTATCAAATTTTTCATTGTTTCTCACTTCAGTCTGTGACAGATGTTGCCACATAAGCTGCAATTATCTCCATGGTGGTCTTTTTACTTGCATTCATCAGGAGTACTACAAAGTGAAATGACCAACTGGCCCGTGAATCTGTGCTTTATTGTGACTGAGAGCATAGTGGAACAAATTATACTAACTCCTTTCAGAGCAGAACTTGCGAGCCATCATCCTCCCATTTAACTCCAATTTCTTTATATTTTTGTTTAATTTTTCATAAGAATGTTGGTACTGATGCGACTCAGTAACTTCAATAGTATATAAATTCAATAGTTATTCAGCAGTGGTCATTTTTAGAGCATAAAAAGTTAAATTAATGCTTATAGACAATTTAAAAACTGGGTGGTTCTTAGTACCATCTGTCTCTTTTCTACTACTTACTGTACCACTGTTACTATGAAAAAGGAAGGCATCTGGTGGTCCCCATCTATATAAAGGGGCCATTCTGTTTAGATAGATAGATAGATGGAGAGATAGACAGGTGTGTATGCTTGTATTTTCTTTAAAAAAGGAAATGAATGAAGTAAGTAAAAATATTGTATTTTCCAAAGCATTTTAGGTATCACTTAAGAGTGTTGCTGTTCTTGTTACTTTCGATGCCTACCAGTGGGTGCTGCCCACACAGAAGAGGCTCAATAAATGTTTTTTTTTTTTAATAAAAGGATTTTTAGGAAGGAAAGTTTGAAAGGTGTATAGTTCATGAAGTGATTGGGTGTTTTCTCTATCAAGCAGAGCATTGATGATGGAAGTTTTTAAAGTGACAAAGAAGAAAGTTTTAGAATATATTAGCAGCCATAATGTGGGGGGAAAATATACAGGTGGGGGTGGCATGGATATATGCATATAAGAAATTTAAGAGACAGTGTGTCTGATAAAAACTGAGGTGATCAATTCATATCAGTAATAATTTGCTTCTGTGTTTTAAGGTTAAAATTCATTGTCTTTTCCTACCAGCAAATTCTGTTTCTTAGATAAGAAAGAAATTGTTTTTCCTTACTTCCTCTTGAATGTAACATGTTGCACTAAAATGATAATAAAACTAGTTTGTTTTATTTATAATATGTGTCCCTCCCTCTCTCGTAGGAAGAAGGCATTGTAAAGGAAATCGACATCAGTCATCATGTAAAAGAAGGATTTGAAAAGGCAGACCCCTCCCAATTTGAGCTTCTGAAAGTTTTAGGGCAAGGTTCCTATGGAAAGGTAAGTTAAAAAAGTCTTAGATGTTGGAGAGATTTTCTATAAAGCTGACAAGGTTCCACAGGGACATAATGGAAATGTCATGTGGTTCTTATTGTTGCTACTGTTAGTAAACACATGTTAAATTGATATTATTGGGAGTCTACACACATAAAGTGATGGTTAAGGGTTGTTGTTTTGTTTTGATTTGTCTAAGGGTTTTATAATCCCCTCAAAAGGGTTCCTTATTATTGTGTTCTTCTAACTGATATTAATGAGAAAGAAACTTTTGAAAGAGAATCTTGTTCCATGTAACACATGTTTCATTTCAGGATTTGTTGGGATTCTTAAATTCAGGATAAGATGATGAAAAAAACAGGGAGGAATTCACAAAATCATTGCTTTTCCTTAGACCATTTTTATTCCTGAAAAACTCATGATTTCTCTTTTCCATTACCTGTGCTGATGACACCTTTAGTAGACATCCACTGTCTTACAGAGATGCTTTTTTTCTTTTTCTTCTCTATTTCTGGTCAGAGGTTTCAATTTGTTCCCAAAGTTTTCAAACTGAGTTATAAAAACAAGAAGTTGAGTCAAGGATATAATTTTTTTTTCCTATAGAATCATAGGATTTTTTATGTGAAAGGAACATCAGTGGCTTTCCAATCCGGTCCATACCTGAAAAAGAATCCCAAATAAAACATACACAAATGATCATCCAGCCTTTGCTGGAAGACTGCCAGCAAGAATGTATCCATCATTCCCAGAGTAAGCCCATTCCAAATTTGTATAGCTCTAATTGTTAGGAAGCAATTCCTTAGGAATTTAGACTTGACTCAAGCCTAAATTTACCTCTTTAGGTTAGAGTTTCAAGGAATGTCTGAGACTATCTAGTCCAATTTTATCCTTTTTATAAATGAAAAAACTAAGGCCTAGGAAAGTTAAGTAATGTGCCCTAAGTCACACAGGTAAGCACCAGAACCTATGTCCTCTGACTCCAGATTCGTTGTTCTCATTGCACCTACATTTGCCTTCAGAATCAAGCAGAACTGTGTAATCTCATTTCAACGCGATAGCTCTTCAAATGTTTAGAGATAGTTATCATGATTTCCTGAAGTTTTCACTTCTCAAGTTAAACATACGCAGTTCATTTAAACAATTCTCAGCTGGCATGAACTTGAGGTCCTTTGCCATAGTGGTTACCTTCCTTCACTTGCTTATTCTATGTCCCTTATCCCTGCTCTCATCTTCTATACTTTGGAAGAACAGGAGAGGAAAAACAAGCAGTGGCCCACAACTCCTGTAAACTTTCTTGAATCCCCTGGAATCAAGAGAATTTTCTGTCTGTTATAAACTGGCCATATCTGATTACTGGTTCAACCTAACTTACCTAGAAATTGCTTGTGACTAATCAGAACCCCTAGCAAGCCTTTAGACCTTCCCTATCTATCTGGATATCATCCCCTCCTATAAAACTTCCCCAAATAGATGACCTGGGTGGAACAAAGGCCATACCATTTTCTTTGGTCCACTGTGATAACCAACTAGATCCCCAGGATAAGCCTGTGAGTTGGCCAGGGTCCCGAAGCTATACACCAAGAATACCTATTACGGTGACTAGTTTATTTATAGAGTGACCAGTAATGTAGTTGATAACAAGGGAGAGGAGAGGGTATTTGTACAGATATGGCATCACCTCCAGCCATTTTATCATTTACAAAGACAAGAAAAATGTACGTCAGTGGGTGTTGATTTTTGTGAGGGAAGGGGGATTCTTTAGCCATTTATTAAAAATGGACTTAATGTAAAACCTTTTCAAATGTACATCTAAAGTGACCAATACTAGAGAAAAAGTGCCATTTGATGGTGAGATTTAAATATTGGAACCATATGATTCTGAACTACTCTGAAGTCAGTAATACTGTGTGTTCCTCAGTTGTGTTATCAGCCATTCTCCAGAATACAACAGACAGAATTACCATTGTGATTTATCTTGATTGAGATATCCTTAAATTATTTTCCTGAAATTATAGCCTAGGGAATCCTTTGGAGTTAGAGGTAGAATCACTTCTATTTCTAAGTACTAAACTCTAGATGGATGGTCTAAAAGCATTCCTTTTTCTTCATCACTCATTATTGGTGTAGGGTACATATATGCTAGGGTTTTTGTCCTCTGGCACTTGCTCCCAGGGTTCTGTCTTATTAGAAATACATATTGGTGAGATGAACCAGTTTCCTTGGGAGAGCCAGTGGGGCCTCAAGTGTTTACAGGACTTTCTTGATGAAGCAGCATTCTAGAGTTGAGGCAGCCTTATACTCTGCAGCTGTGAAGGTTATTTCCTGTCAGGAACTGAGAAAAAAACAACAACAACAACAGGTGTCTAGAATAGTGCCATGTCCATACTCAGTAGACTCTTAGTAAATGCTTTTCAATTATGTGACAGGTGGCACCATGAAACATCTAAAATGTCCCTAGAGATCTATTTATGTGTCATGTTGCTCTGTGCATATCCTGGGTACATACCCTTTGTAGCCTTCTGTCAGACTGACAGCTGGCAATGAATGGATTTCTGGGACATATGGACCTTAAATAAACTATATATCTTAGGGCTAACTATCTCAAGTATAGTGAGGCTATTGACTTTGCAAAGTTGCTATTCTTAAACATGTGTGTTCATTGAACTTTGATGTGATAAAACCAGAGCTGGCCCCTGTTGTTTGAGTGTAGGATGGGGGTTATGTTAATATTATGTCTAATCTCTTTTCAGCAACATAGTTATATTTTCTGGCACTTTTACTCAGTGGCATGTGTTTTTCATTACCCATGACAACAACAAACATCTGTTAAATACTTACTATATTCCAGGTACTGTGTGCTAAATAAATGCCAAGGATACAAATACAAGCAAAAAGAAAGACATTCCTTACCCTCTAGGAGCTTACATTTTAATGGGGAAAGATAACACATAAAAGGCAGATCAAAAGGGGGTCAAAAGTACATTCATGGGTGCATGGTGGCAAAGTCTGGAGAATAAAAAATGGCTAATCTGGGAAGTGTAAGGAATAACTCATCAACAGGGTCAAAAGGAGTGAAGGAGAAATCTTTTTTTCTGGTGGAGTGTGGGATGTTTATTTATGTAGAGCTGTATTTATGGAAATGAGGAAATGAAAATAGTCTTTTAAAATGATCCTGCACTCCGGCAAACAGCCCTTTCTAGGAGAATAGAAGGCTTACCACAGTTGAGGCAGTACCACAAACTGACTACAGCTTACACTGCCATTCCCAAATGATGCCGTGAAACAGGAAAAATGCTTTTTTTTCTAAGAACGATAAATTAAATAGTATGGAGTTGTTGGGGTGAGTAAGAGCTTGTACTTTGCCCTTCAGTGTACATTATGTTACACCTTACCATGGTACCTCCCTTGGCCTAGTGGTTGAAAGGAAAATGACACTTTGAAATGGTTGAAAAGAAAAAATTGAAAACTCAACCCACTAAATATGCTCAGGCATTTTATCAATTGATCAATCAGCACTCAATGGTCTAAATGTCTACAGAATATCTTATGAATAAGGACAATGAAATGTTTTGATAGGTTTGGTTCTATTAGCCTAGTAACTGAATGATCCTTGTACTATTTGAGATGTTGCCTTTATCTCAAGGTTGAATCCTATTTAGTGTCTGACGTAAGAAGAGATTGCAGAGATGCTTTCTGTGCAAAGAGTAAATATAGGACTAAGTCTCCAGAGGATAATTTCCACTTGATTGAATAAAAAATGCCCTTGAAACTATTGCTGCCTAGGTAGCTAGGACAGTAAGAATGAGGGAGAGAAAAGGATACTCCCATTCTCTTCCTACCTATTCCTCAGCATAAAGTGCAGTTTCACTCTTAAAGGTAATTCTTTTGTTGTTGTTTTTTTAATAGCAATGGCTGCAACATTGTAAAAAAAAAATTGAAGGCTTATAAAAGACTTAAAACCCCGGTCAACATGATAAGTAACCAGGATTCCAGGGGACCAGTAGTGAAGAAGACTACCCACCACCCAACAGAAACATGTTAGACTCAAGAGGCAGAAAGAGACATCTATTTTTGAACATGGCCAATGCAAGAATTTGTTTTGTTTGACTGTGCATGTTTTGTTATGAGGGCTTTGATTTTTTCCCCCAGGGTGAGAAATGGAGGGACACTAAATGCTTGATAATTTACATGTATGTATACACACAGACATACATACATATGCATACACATATATTTAAATTATAACAGTATCACATATTATACATATACACATATGTATATATCTTTGTAGGTTTTTTTAAACAGACTATATAAGGAAAGTATAGTAATGATATTTCATTAAACCCTAGTGGAATGATAACATGTTCTAGTGGAGGTCTATGGTTAAGTAGAGTAGCACACAAGTTGATAGCACTAAACTGAAGAACAGTATATGTTCTTAAGTATATGCTTATTATTTTAAGAAAATCAACATATAAAAATCCAAAATGTATTAAATTATTGATGATTGTTATATCAAGAAAAAAATTATTTTCCAAAAACCAAATTCAGGTTGTCTTAAGTGAGTTCTCCTACTTCCACAACATCACTAACATCTATTCCTTTCTCTTTGATCACGTGGCCATCAACTTAATTCAGGCTCTGGTCACCACTTGCCTGCCCTCTAGCCTCTCTCCCTTTCAATCCATGCTCCACAAAGCTGTCAAAAACATATCCATAAAGCACAGGTCTCACCAGTAAATTCTTCTGCTCAAGAATCTAGGATCAAATATAAACACATGTCTGTTGGCATTTAAAACCCTTCACAATGTGGTTTCTACCTACACATTCCTCCTTTCACAATGCGCAGGCTCCAGCCAAACTGACATATTTTTTGTTCTCTACATAACATTCCAACTCTTGCTTCCATGTCTTTGCATAATCTGTCCCACTTTCTCTTATTCTCTTTCTCCTCACGTTCTCCTTTTGGAACCTCTTGTCATTCAATCATGTCCGACTCTTCATGG